TGTGTGTGTGTGAGAGAGAGAGAGAGAGAGAGAGAGAGAGAGAGAGAGAGAGAGAGAGAGAGAGAGAGAGATGCAGCAGCAAGTGGACGATGTACTTCGCAAATGGGAAGGCACGGCACACAGGGTGTCGAGGACATTGGACGCTGTGCGAGGGGCTGCTCTGAAAGCAGTCGCCGGCTTCGTAGATGACAAGTTCTCGAACCCTCGTCGTTGCAAGGAGGAAAAAAAGAGATATCGACGTGCGAACGACCATAGCCGCGATGGCGTCACAAGCAACATCGTGTCTCCTTCTTCTTCTTCTTCGCCATCCTCCTCCTCCTCCTCCTCCTCCATCTCCAGTCCCGGCCGACTCCCCCTGATCTCCCGCGAGCGGGTGGTTTTCCCCGGTCGCAGATCGTTGCCATTTGCCGCGCTTAGTCTGGCGCGCAGCGGCGCGCCGGTCGCGGCGCGGGCGGAGCAGGGTTCGCAGGAAGACGCGCAGTCCGGCGACCCACTGCCGCGCTCGGCAAATGGAGAAGAGCTTGGGGGAGGGGTTGTTGTGAAGTTGGGAGGAACGGGGGGGGGTGAGGAGGAGTGGTTAGACGAAGGGGGGGGGGCAGAAGGGGTGCTAGACTCATCGAGCGCCATGGCTCAAGGCTATGGCGGCGCTGTTTCCAAGGCAGAGCTGGGAAGATGCACGTGGGTTCTCTTACACACACTCGCTGCGCAGTTCCCTGAGCGCCCAACCAAACAACAACAACGGGACGCCAAGGAGTTGATGATGCTGATGACAAGGATCTATCCTTGCAAAGAATGCGCTGAGCACTTCAAGCAGGTCATGAAAGTCAATCCACCGAAGACATCGAGCGGTCCAGAGTTCTCGCAATGGATGTGTCAGATCCACAACACCGTTAATCGCAGCATAGGGAAACCGCAATTCCCGTGCCGAAGAGTAGATGTGAGATGGGGTGCGATGGACTGCGACGGAAGTGCTTGTGATCTTGAAGGCCGTCCGATCAGGGCGAAGTGAAGGAAAAAAAAAAAGAAAACGAAAAAAAAAAATCGACGGGTGAAATTTACCTCCTCCTCCTCCTCCTCCTCCTCCTCCTCCGCCTCTTCGCCATTTTTTGTATTTTTTTAAAACCCTATTGAACGAAGCCTTTCGTTCGGTTTCTCGGTTTTGCCTTTCTGCTTTGGTTTGCTTTTCTTTCTTTGCTCTCTCTCTCTCTTTTCTTGTCCTTTCCTTTCTCCGTTTGGTTTTCTTTTTCTTTAACTTCCTTTTTTTTTAATTTCCGCCCTTTTCCTTTTTTTTTTGCGCTTACGTTACTAGGCTTTTTTTAATTTTATTTTTATAGCCTATCATTTTTATTTGTTTGGTTTTGATGTCTGAATGGGGTTGTTGTTGTCTGGTTGGTTGTGCATGCTTAGCTGGCATTGGTTAATTTGGTTGTTGGTGGGTGACACGTGGGGGGAAGGGGGGGCCCGGGAGGGGGGGGGAGGGGGAGGGGATGGGGGAGGTTGAATCATGCGCATGCTGCGGTCCTTGTTTCAGGGTAAATGTGTGGGCAGCTTTGGGGATTTGACAGAAGATGTGATTTCAGTTTGATTTGGCGTGGTGATGTACACATGATGTACACGTGGCGTGTGCTTGTTGGCTGTTGTTTTTCTGTTAGCGTGTATTATACACGTGGACGTAGTAGATTAGTTGTCCCCCTGCCACATATGAGTTATTTTATGATGAAACGAAGAAGGGAAGAAACGGCTGTAGAGAGACTCCCATCGGATTGATTTGATATCAATCAAGCATTAATTAGTACTACACTCGAAGACTGTAGGATTGATTGGTAGCTCAATAATGATTGATTCGTCTCCTGGCACATGTTTTGACACGTGTTTTTTTGTGGAGTGATCGACGGAGGATGGGAGGAGTTTATTCATCATTCATCATTCATCATTCATTATTATCCAACAATGTTTTGACACGTGTTTTGACACGTGTTTTGACACGTGTTTTGACACGTGTTTGTCGAGGATCGGCGATGTCATCTTGCAGTCTGTCAGACTGATCTGGACCGTCTTGGCGTCCGCAAATTGCCGGTCACTGATCTGCAGGGTGTGTGACACGTGTCATGACAAAGGCTGCAAGGATTGTGACACGTGTCATGCTGTTGTTTGTGGTCACCATCCTCACACTGAAAACGGGTAGAGAAGGGATGTATGCAAGAGGCTGGGAGGTTGTCGGCTTGCGGGTTTTCCGTTGAATGACGACACGTGTCCTGCAAACGGCCATGGGATTTTGCATGAAGCATCGGGTTGCATGTGAAGCTGGATAAGGACAGGATAAGATGATCCACGTGGCAGCGCGCTAGCAAACGACAGCCAACAACGTGGTGGCTGTGGCGTAGGGCACGTTTCTTTCTTAGGGGTTATAGATGCAAAACTGGTGTAGCGTGCGGAAAATCTGAGGTGCTCTTGATTCTATGATACGAATGATGACTTCGTTCACAGAACCGTGCGCATGTCAGTGCGCACGTGTGCGCTCGCTCGCACGTGCATTTACCGGAGTTTGATAATCATACAGGATACGCTTATTGACCTAGAGATGGATAGACTGCTGACGGATTAACTAGGTAGGTTAATGAATAACGTTTGGATAACGTTGGAGATAACGTTTGTGGTATAGATAGATTGATAGACAGGTAAGTAGGTAAGTGGGTAGGTTATGTTTGGGAGAGAGAGAGAGAGAGAGAGAGAGAGAGAGAGAGAGAGAGAGAGAGAGAGGCTTTTCTATTATTGCATTTTGAACGAGAGACGATCAAAGAGACACACAGAGAGAGAGAGAGAGAGAGAGAGAGAGAGAGAGAGAGAGAGAGAGAGAGAGAGATGGTTTTCGATTATTGCATTTTGAACGAGAGACGAGATGATGTCGGGATGTTGGTTGGTTGTATCCTCGATGAATTTTCCTTTTTCTGTTTGAAGGTAATTTTTTCGTTTTCTCGAGGGGAAAAAAAAGAAAAAGTTGTTTAATCAAATGACCGATGACCTGAAGGGTAGGGATAATGTCTGAATGTTACTCTCACCCGTAGCGCGCACGAGGCCTTTTTTTATTATTCTGCTTTTGAAAATTTTCACCATAAGCAATGGGAATCTATTTTTAGGTGGCAGATACAGTTCCCGCTGAACTAATTTTGGGCAAGATCGATTTCCACTCTCTCTCTCATTCCCTTGTCTGGCGAAGGAAGTTTTTTTTTTTTTTTTTAATTCCCCATTCCTTTTTTTTTTTGTTTTGTTTTGTTTCCCGGTTTTCTGTGCCACTGTAGGTCCGGTTGGTGCTGAGCAGAAAGCCTCTGTTAGAATGAACCTGGTCGTGCGGCATGTCAGGTGCATTCCAGTTTTTGCATTTGAACTCCCAGGGCCGTGGTCTCACTTACCGACACAGATTCTCTGTTGCTGGCCTTTGTCGAGTTTCGAGCACACCGGAATGCACCTGACTGACTTCACGACCAGGTACAGTCCTGATCCTCGTCGTGATCTACTGCCAAAACCGCATAATCCGGGTGATTGGGACCAGGTACATCCTGGTACAGGGGACCCAGCCCGTATGGGTGAATGGTACAGCCATGTGACTGTTGATAAACAGACCTGAGTTCAAGACCTTATGGAATCCGCCGATCCGCTGCATGAAACAGACCATTCATTGTTGGACCATTGGTTCATGTGGGTATGGTACGAAGACGTCAACAGCAAAGGCAGGGAAGAATGAAGTGAAAAGGGAACATGAAACGACAATGAACTAGGAGATGACAACGACAACGACGACGTCAACAACAAAGGTGATGCTGCTGCTGCTGCGGCTGCTGCTGCCGCTGCTGATGCTGATGCTGATGCTGATGCTGATGCTGATGTTGATGATGATGCGGAGCATGAGGAGGCTTCAGATATGGGCGCAAATAGCAAGAAGTAGAAGGGTATGATTCAGACGTGAATGGTAAGAGTATGAAGGAGAAGAAGAAGGAGAAGAAGAAGGAGAAGAAGAAGGAGAAGGAGGAGAAGAAGGAGGAGAATGAGGAGAAGAAGAAGGAGAAGAAGGAGAAGAAGAAAGGAGAAGAAGATGAGGTGAGCATAAATAAGGATTTCTTAGTTGAATGCAGAAGAAGGTTTCAATGGCGATGATGATGATGATGAGGAGGAGGAGGAGGAGGAGGATAGTGTGGACGAGGAGAACATGGGAAAAGCGTCGTTGGGACGATGATGTAAATGCCGATGTGATGATTGAGAAATATAACATTTGATAGCGGCTGAAGTTTTAATCGGGATCGAAAAGTGCCATCATTCTGAATCATCATCAGAATGAAGACCAGGTTCGATGAGTTAACTAATCTGGGAAGGTGATATTCTAGCCTGTAGATTCAGCTTCGCAGGATAGGTAATTGGAACGGAATCCACTCTGAATCATCCCGGTTAGGAAGGCCAGGTTCAGCATCATTTCATTTCTGTACCATTGAGATCACATTTGGGACTGTCTCTTATACACATCTAGATGTGTATAAGAGACAGGCATAGGCGCGGCGGCATGCAGAGGCGATGACGATGGACCTTCGCGGGGCGCTCACAAATTCGTGACGACATACGAGGACTCCACTGTGCCGCTGC